GCTTTTAACCAACATTTAAAGAAAACCAAGTGAATTGTGCAAATTTGTTTTAAAATATGTATCGGATAAAACTCCTCTCAAAGAAAAAGGACATTCAATTTAATTATTTGAGACAAGTCCAGGAAGGCTATACATTTATAGAATATGGAATAGTCACCAAAATTATATAAGCAGTGTATTTCAGAAACCATAATATCTTAGATTAATGAAAAAATTTAGAAAACCTAAAACTGTTAGTAGTCTATATTGTAGAAATATCTTCTGGGCCCCAAAGGTAATAATGAGTACCAGGCTCTTATTTAACTGCATTTTGCAAAGCATGCAATATAAACAGATCAATATAATTAAGAAATATAAAATGAAGAAAACTGAAAACTTTGGGGAAACTAAAAGCTGGGGAAGATTCATCAGAATTAAAGAAAACAGAACCCATTCAGTAGTTTAACAAAATGTTTAAAGAATCTGAATGCTATCAAATAGAACAAAAGCTGTGTAAATTCCCAAAAAGTTCCCCTCATAATGCCAATTCTTGTACGTAAATATGTTCAAATAAAATTTGCTCCTTAAATTATCTTGCTTTGGGACTTGCAATTCAGATGTGAAGATGTGTTTCAAGAAAGGTCGTATGATCTTAATTCTTATGACATGATGTTTTATGAAGTAAATAGAGTTATAGAAGGAAAAGTATAAATGAAAACGTAAGTTGATAAAGTGTGGTGTAATAAAGTGTAAATACCAGAAAAATTAACATACAGCAACATATTTTTACAGAAAGAAATGATATGATAACAGTAAAAAATATTGTGATCTAAGGCAATCTTTACGGCATCCTGGTGACAGAGTGGTGAAAGTGCTTTGCTGCGAAGCAAATGGTTGGGGGTTTAAATCTACCAGCTACTGACAGAAAGAAAGGGATTGCCCAGGAGCTCTATGGGCAATTCTGCTCTACTGCCAAACTGTAAAAATAGTATTTTAAAGTAGTGCAGCTTGTTATTGTCAATATGGAAATTGGTTTAAATAATCAATGAAAGCCTTGTTGAGAGCAAAAATAGATAAAAGTTAACGGTCCTAATTAAAAATGAATGGTCCAAAGGCCAAATCCACGCTTCAGAAATGTTTGGTCTGCTTTGTAGAATGGGTTTATTACTACCCCCCATTGTTGCCTAATTGATCTTTATGTTTTAACCTGTTCTTCAATTATTTTCTTATTGAAAATCTCAACTCTTTTAGAAAAAAATATTTCAAGAGATTTCATTAAACACGAAATTATCTGATCAACCTGGGTTAAATTCCCACCGGGTTTTATGAAAACTGGACTGTTAGATTTTGCAGATTGTCAGAGACTTTGCCTAAGTTTGTTCATTCATTTATGACTCCTTGTCTCCCCCCTTAGGTATTTGGTAATTCACATTCTGTTATACTATGTATGCCAGAGTTGCTAGTCAAACTGGGAGTTCTTTTGCTAAATGCACATCTTGCTGAGAGGCAATCTTACAATGTGCAGCCTTAGCTGTTCTCAGTCGACTGCTCAATGCTATCAGTTCTTTATTGGCGAGACATAAATGGAGAGAGATCTGACCTGTGTGAATCTTAAAGCCTATCTAACTAATCACTGCTCCCTTCATTAGACCTAATCACATGACATTCATGCCCCAAGGAGGATGAAGCATACTTTTGTTCTTTGATTTCTTGAGAGTTTCCAAGAGGTGAAATTTAAGTTCACATTTGCCTTTAACAAGAATCAAGGTAGAAATACTGTCCAAGGAATACCAAATGACCTATAATAAAGAAAACAAACCCATTGTTTAATTATTTTTCCTTTTTAAATAGAATTAAATTTATCAACTATGATAGTATTCTGTTATTGATTCTATTGCCTGTATTCTTAAAAACAATACACTGGGTATATTAATTATCTGTATTTTATTTAAACAATACCACGTTATTCTGTACAGGAAACAAGTGTGTGTCAAGGTTTACGATGAACGGACAATTCTTTTATTCCCACACAGTGTAAAAAATAGCAGATCACAACATGTCTGTCATTTGAGGAAGATTGATTTGCTGCAGCTTGCTTTTGTCTTGTTAGGATCTTAAACCTGTAAGAGAGAATGTTGCTGTTTGTCTTATCATTCATTTTTATTTTTTCCCATCATTGTTGGGAATGCATGGGGCAGAACATACGCCGATTTAACAGTTTATAGTTGCATGATTCAGTGACGTTGATTACATTCTTTGAGTAGGACAATCATTCTTACTCTCCTTTTCTGAAATGGAGGAGTGGCAGTTCAATGATATGCAAGCTGGCAACAGAAAATAATATTCTTTCAAAATTGTTCACGATGAGAAATGAAGTAGCACAAAATACTACTCAGCTGGCTCCCAAAATGTTTTATAATTGAAAGTCTACTTTTCAAGTAAACAGCTTAAAATGTCCTACTTATAATTATTTTTCCATTTTCCTAAGTGTATAAGCACTTAATTTAATTCAGATATGGCATTTCTAATTTAAAGGCAAGTTTGATTAACTATAATTTACAATTTAAATGAAATTGTTATTTCTTTAATTAGTCAGATCATATTTGCATAGGAAACACTTGCTTCTGTCCTTTCCAGTCGGGCCACTCTGAATAGGCTCCGACTTGACCCAACAGCATTGGGCTTTTGGTGATTATGTGAGAAATGCGTGGGGATCGGGTCCCTCTGTAGATGACAGAGAGAGACAAATGGATACCAGTACAAAACCAAGTGATCATCCACAGGGTTTCCAAGGCTGGACATCTCATATCTATCTCTTGTGAAAGAGCTAGTGGCGTTGAACTTCTGACCCTATGACTGGCATCGGATCATAAAGCCACTGCAACATCAGGGCTCCAAGATATTCAATGCTAATATAAGTTCAGAAATTAGATGCCATAGCCATCCAGTCCATTCTGTTCAGAGTGACTTGATGTAGGGTTTCTGAGACTACAAATCTTTACAATCGCAGAAAGTCTGATCTTTTTGCTATGGAAGTCTGGTGGTTTTGAACCTCTGACCTGGTAGTTAGCAGCCCAATATTTATTCCACAACAACTATCTATTTAGAAATGTGGACCCCATACATGCTATTACCAGGTGCCTCACACGGTCTAATAAGTGTTCAAAGTAAATAGTAGTATATATTGTTCCAGCCCATTGATATTGGAAGTTTTTGAGGAACAAAACCTAAACTGAGTTTTAGCATCAGAGAAGTGATTACAAGAAAGTTTAGGGCGAGGGAAAGCTGAGAAGTATAAAACATTTTTTCCTAGTATAACTGGGAATTATTGTATGATGAAATTAATATACTAGAGTTCAAATGATAAGAAATAGCGCTAGCCATATAGAACACCATTCTCGGCAGAAGTACTGGAAAATGTTGAATAGAAAACATTTGGTTTCTACATCTGATTAGATATAGTCAAACCAAACCAAACCTATTGTCTTCAAGCCAATTCCATTCCATAGCAACCTTATCGTCCAAAGTACAACTGCCCCTTTGGGTTTCCAAAGCTATCATTCTCTATCGGAACAGAAAGCCTAATCTGTCCCCCATGGAGTATCTGAGGGTTTTGGATTGCTGACTGTGAGCCTAGTGCCTTAGCTTACAACCCACTACCACCCCAGCAGGGCTTCCCTGAACAGATAGACACGCACACAAGAAAAAGAAACTGCATATTCCGGCGGGGACAGCTAGGACTCCTCCAACTTTTCAATGAAATTTCATTTTTATGTTTTGGATGCTTCTAGAAGCCAATTAGAAAAGGTATTCCTTATCGTGATTCTACTTACCTACTTCTTTCTGGCGTGCCTGCATCTGCTGAAAAAGTCGTGTTACGTTAGCCTTGCTGTATCAATCAAATAAAACCAACATGTACTGTGTTCCCCCTATATTTTTGAGTAGACTTTTAACTACTTTTAGAAAAATTTAGTGTTAGATATATCTAGAGAGAGGCATTTTTGAGTAGAAATACAATGATCAACCACAATGAATGTATGTGGAAATGTTTAACGCTTTTCTATAAGCAGAAAGCACAGATAGATGGATTTGTAAAGAAATATCACAGGTTCAGTATAGTATTTTAGGAAAGAAAGTTAACTTTTTTTGACTATTTTTGGGTGCAAAAAAGCAATCAAACCAACCCTTGAGATTTTGAAAGATGCATGTACTATAATTTTTATTTTTAAAATGCTTCTGGGAAAACAATTAGAAATATATTACTTATTATGGAATAGCTAATGCAGATGAATATATACTCCTCAGAATGCATCCTAAATTTAATTTATGTTGGTGCCTGCTTTGAAAAGAACATCTCCCCCAAGGCTTAGAATGGTGAACAAATAAACAATGAAATGATCTTGTCTCATCGGGCCATAAGGTCCTGGACTTATGAGATAATTAGCTTTTTAAAAATAATCTGAGTCTGTATCAGCCTTTACATTTTATTATTCATATCAAACATAAAATCTGAATGAACCGCTTACTAATTGTACTTTGTTATGGATGTAGTTTGTTTAATAATGGTTGTCCTATATTGGGAAGCAAAAACATTCACAACTATCTAAGAATTGAGGTTAAACTATTTGACGAAAACATTACTTTCATGGTAGAATGATTACAAGACATTGACTGCAACTATAGATACTTGGACTCTAATTCTATTTGTAGACTCCCACTTACTAGGTTAATTATTTTCCTCTTTCTGAGCTGGGACTACCTTTCGGAAAGACACATTCTTTTTCTTTAAAACAAAATCTGTTCTACCCTTTGAAATCCAGGAAGATCATGTCTTATTGAGCTCACTAAACTCCTATTCTCGGTCCTTCCCAGGTGCTTTTTTTCTACTGAAAATAAACATTGACACATTGTGGACCATGTGAACATTTCTCTGCCCCGCCCCCCTCTGTATTATGCTAATCTTTTGTTATGGATTTCTGGTTTCTTGGAGCTGTTTGTCATATGTTTTTCTCCTGTTATAGGTTCTCCATACAGAGATAAAATCACCATAGCGATCCTTCAGCTTCAAGAGGAAGGCAAGCTGCACATGATGAAGGAGAAGTGGTGGAGGGGCAATGGTTGCCCGGAGGAGGAGAGCAAGGAGGCCAGCGCCCTGGGGGTTCAGAACATCGGTGGCATCTTCATTGTGCTGGCAGCTGGCTTGGTGCTCTCGGTTTTTGTGGCTGTGGGAGAATTTTTATACAAATCCAAAAAAAATGCTCAATTGGAAAAGGTAAATGTCACTCTTTTACAATTAAAAACAATTGTGATTGTAATACGACTATCTATATTTTCTCTTTACAATGAAGGATAATGTGTAGAACTGTGGCTGTTCATGTGGTCCTGTGCCATCCATTATAAAATAGTCATTCGCAAAAGAGAACTCTATTAGATCTTATGTTTTATTGTGGCAAGGGTACAGGACATGGGATAGCTTCTCCTCATATTGAGAGCTCCCACAAAGAGAAATTGCTCCTGAAAGTTCATTGTAGTTAACTTAATGGAGGAGTTTGATCAATGAAGGAAAGAAAAACTAGTAACTATAGTATGCAGTGATAAATATTTCTGTGCACCTAAGTTAGATTTTTAAGGCTGACCTGGCAAACAGTTTCAAGGTAAAGAGTAAGTGAAAACTTTATTTGGAGAATTTCAGTCTAAACATTTTTTATGTAAAATGTAGCAGCTCATAGGGCAAAAATGACCATTCGTTTTCTACATAAATGAATATGGGAGGGTTTTTTCCTTGTCATTAATCATATTCTTAATGATTCCTTTCCTCAATTCTTATACCAGATATTCAAAGTTGTAGAAACCTAAAAAAATTTTTACATTATGTTTTTGTTTGAATTTTAATGCATTTATTTATTTATTTTACAAATCTCTTTGTAATCTTTATTTCTGATGCACCACCTTCTTTAGTCCTGCAGCATACACTGGTATATAAACAGAGAAATCTCTGTTTCAGCTTACATTTCAAACTTTTAAAAATAAATTGACAGCTATGGGCATGAAATAGCTGCTTTAACATTTCTGAGCGTTTTGGAACTTTATTGATTTAATGTCTTTATAGATAATTAGCCTTTTCTTTCAGTTATGCTCAACAGTATGTAAGGTTCGGTCTCAGACCCTGTACAGAATGAAACTGCATTTGCTTTAACACTTTGCAACCACAAGGGATTATATTGGTAATAGGAGGAGGAAAATCATGATATTTAAAAAATAATATCACATATCCATGCAAGATAAGAGTTTTCTGCTGATGTTCTTTGAAGCACTCACACCTTTAAAAATCTATTTTTGAAAACCAAGAGCATTGTCCTATCTCTCTAACAATTTATGTTACTATTACTAGAATCTCTGGAATCAGAATGATAGTCATTTCATTCCTACGTTGGTGTTTTTCTACATAATCTAGTGAATTCTTAAAAATGCTGTTGGTATTTTTATATCACTATTCTGTTTATGATACTCAAATAACAAGTGAAAATATTTAAAATTTTCACAGACGCACCATTTATTTCCCCACAGTTCTCAGGATGGTTGTTAATGTTGGTTTCCTGAATCAAGCATATACTAGTGTGATGAATCATTGAGTCTAGGTGCACATTCCAATGTAATGATAATTCTGAAATATTCCTGTAAAATAACCTAAAAAGACCAATCTTAACTCATCCATTTCCATTTTCATCAGTAATTATCATTAAATGTAAAATCCTTTTTGTTAGTAAAGGTTTTGGATTAGTCCAAAATTATAGTTACAAAGAATTTTGATATTTGAGTTGCTATTTCAAATAATAATTTCATTTATATCTCCGTTTCAAAATAAATCAATTTAGCATTTGAAAATCTGTAGCATCCTATTCTTTTTGTCTCTATGTATCCTTCTCATATAACTAAACCTATGCTGTACCTCTATGCACAATTGTTTCATGTGCATTATCTGTTTAAAACAAAATAAAAGGTGAAAAAGTTAATTCCTTAAAATAACCTGTTACATTATTATATTATAAATACTTAGTTTAGTTGGAATTTTATATATGAACATGTATATGCAGATTTCATAGTATTTTATATGGTGGCCATTATATATTTATACACACACACATATGACGTTCTGAAAATTTTGAAAAAAAGGAAATGAGTGTAACTTTCTCATTTTATCACCAAAGGAACCAATATGTAACACTGATAAATACTTACTTTGATTTTATATGAACATGGTAGACACACTGCCCAGTCCTTCTAAAAGGAATTCTATATTCCCTGGTGAGACCCTGCCCAAGGGTCTGCCCAAGTTTATCATTTGCTTCTCCCAATTTACAGCTTTACTCCTAAGGAAACAAGTGTACAGACACAGTCACTGGGAGTTATCTCTGACTTGTGGCAGCGCCAAGTGGCTCAGGGCAGACTGTCCTCCACTGAGCGTTCAGTAACGCATTTGTTGGAAGCAGGTGGCCACGCTGTCTACAATAGATGGCAAAGCCTTTTTCTGAGGTCTCAGGTGCCATTGGTTAGCAATGTAGGGAGCTAACCATTTGAATAAACCAGAGACTCCTTCCATGTTAATAGAGGGAAAAGACTTCCATTTCCCAAAGTCATATAACCTTTCTAAAACATCTCCATTTAAGTTGAGCACTTTGTCCATTTTTCCATGGCAGATAGCCATTAGTCGTGTGTATAGAAACAACATGACCACTAAGTGCTCTGTGACACTCAGTTTAAGTGCACAGCGGCTGACTGAAAGGATGGTAGTACAAACCTACCAGCCAATCTGAGGGAGAAAGACATGGCAGTGTCCTATTATCCTCCATAGGTAGTATCCTAGTATCTTTATTTCTATGTATCTCGATGTATCCCTTTCATATAATCATAACCAATCAGTATCTCTGCACAATTTTTTACCTCCCCCAAAAGGCTTTTGTACAGAGGAGAGGCTAGGAAACCCTCTCGGGCAATTATACTCTTCCTGTATGATTGCTAGAATTAGGGTTCACTAGACAAGCTACATTAATGGGAGAGCTGTCTAGAAAAGTCTTCTCAGTCATTGTATGTGCCAGCAGTCCCTAAATTATGAATGAGTTCCCTCTCTCAATCTAACTAGATTTAACATGTATGTAAATGAGAATAATTATATTTTAATATCAGTTAGATAAATGTTTATCTTAGTATTATATAGTGTACCTTTGTAGGCATAAAATCATTAAGTGTATATTTCAAGATACAATAAAATATATTCAACATATTAATACAGTAATAATGATGCTTTGATGCACAGTCCAAGGTAGCATCCCTTTATTTGAACTATCGTGGGTACCTCACATAGTTTTTACTATAATAGACTGAATAGAGGTCAGGAGATTTAGTGATATGGAGGTTAGGTGTTGGGCTGCGCAGTGCAAAGCCAGCATTTCGAAGCCACCAGACAGACATTCTGCAGGAGACAGAAGAGGCCTTCGAAGGCCACTGTCTCCAAAGGCCACAGGAGCAGTTCTACCATGTCGACTGGGTCGCCATGAGGCAGGACCGACTCGATGGCCGTGAGTTTTTTGGAAGTTTTCTAAGTGGGTTTGTAATTGATGGACATTTTGTTAAGGGTTTGAGCACAGAACACAGCTTATTTCGGCAAGGTTGCCTAAATATGGTTTAGTTTAGTTATAATTACATGGTTCAATTTCCTATTGCAATGAAGCAATGGGATCGGTATATCTTGTTTTTTACTTAGCTGATTTCCCATACAATCATCATTCTAATGACAGTATCCTTGATTAAACAGGGAGAATATTTTGATCACTTCAATTGATAACCTGTGTCAAACCCATAAGCCGAGCGTCTGTCACTCGGTGCACATCTCCATCACACCATGTTGTTGTTAATGCCCTGAAGTCTACTTCAGCTTTTATTCATACTATATGACAGAGTAAAACAGCCCATAGGATTTTTTATTGTAAACTTTATGGCAGCAGATCACCCATTCTCTCTCAGTATAAACATGAGCTGGATGTGAACTGTCCACCTTTCAGCTAGCTGCTGCGTACTTAAGTCCTGTACCATTGAAGCTCCCCCACTACATTTAACTCACGGTTTTGTTTGTATTTATTGGTTTCTATACACTTCCCTGTTACACACTTAATACTTTAGGAGAAGGACCCACTCTTACACACATAGATCTTCAGGACCTGTAACCGGGTCTGGTTGTACTATATATTTTTCTATCAATGGGCCTATCTGTTTATATAATTAATAATAAAGTTTAATCTAGTGACCTATTTTTAAAAGCCCATCTGTCACAAACAATAAAAAACATCCTTCAACGATAGTAAATTAAATGATTATAGGTTTCTTGGAAGTGATTCATGTTATTTATCCTGATAAAAATTGTTTCTTGAACTCAGTTTGTCTTCATTTTCTAGAGGAACATGTTATGAGGTTGAATTATCTAGCTGTTTAACCCCTTATGTAAATTATTAAAATTAGTCACAAAATTTTGTTAACATTTATAATTATATATGCATGAGGTTATATAGAAATTCACAGTTTACTTACACTATCACGGAAATCCCTTTAATTTAGATTTCAAACATTTAATGATAATTTCTTGTGAAATTATTCATTTATTCAGCAATTATTTATTGAGACCCAAATAGATGAAGAACTGCGTTTTGCAAGGAAGGATCTTTTAGTCACAATCTCTGTCCCCAAATCCTTTGCTATCTTTATCTTCTATTTCAATATTTTTTTCTAGTATTCTTTAATACAAAGAAGCAGTTGTCAGGACGGCGCAGGACCAGACGATGTTTCATTCTGCTGGGCCTAAGGTCGCTATGGGCAGAGCCAACTCAATGGGATATAACAACCACCTTCTTTAACAATGCAAATTCCATTTCCTATGCTTATCCGCATATACTGGAATTTTGTGAATAAAGGTTAAGGAGAGCTAACATTACTATACAGTTAAGACTTATTAGGATATGGTAGTGAATATGTTTAAATGGATAAGGTTAAGTTTTGATAATGCGGTGATGAATTTTATAAATATTATATCAAGTATTAAGTAAAATGTGTTTGAGAGCACATAATCTGTGAATTATTAATAAAAACAAACAGCTCTTGAAAACGATGACATTTTATACTTCTTATTTGTTTGAGAATTACATGTTTAAGGATGTGCCATTTTAGTTAATAGAAAATAAAGGTAAGTTAATAGAAAATAAAGTTAAAATATGAAGATATTAT